CCTCTCTATCTCCAATATGAGAGTCTAAAAAAAGAGAGGAAAAGGAGGAAAGGCAAGTCAGTATGCATCAAAGTTTACTTTACGGTATATGAAGAAAATCGAAAAATACCTGCAAGGCCGCGCCGGCAACCCTCCGGGATAGTTCCCCGTCGCTAACCCCTTGTAACGTTTCACGCTCAGCGGCCGCACATAGCAGGGTCATATCCGCTGCGGCCTGCTCGCTGTGTTGCAACAGGTTATACTCTCTTGGGATCAGAATTCGGCGGTTAGATCTACCTGCCGTCATCTCCACACGGGCCGGACCCCGCGTTAACGCATCTGCATCCGCCTGGGTGGCCTTAGGGCCCACCCTCTCGGCATCATCACCTGCTTCTCCAACGGCAGCCGACGAGCCGCTCTCCGGAATGCGTGGTGGGCTGGCGTCGAGAACCGCCCCCCCTTGGGGAGCCGACCTCCCGGAACGGATGGCATCCGCCATAAAAACTGGCCTTGACTCCCGATGGGGCTCGCTCGCCCCCTCGTCTCCTGGGCCTATCCCCTTGCCGGTTATCAACCGACGTCTTTTCCTTTCGGGCGGCTCCTCGCTCTCAGAATTCTCCTCCACAGCCCGTGGGGATGGTATTGAAGGAGTCGCTCCCATCATGTATGCCACCACGGGCAGCGGTAGAGGAACCCCCGCAGCGCCCTCACTAGGCGAACCACAGGGTATATACCCATCTTCAGAATCAGTCCCCGCCGCAGGTAAGGCGACGACGTTCTTCTTCTTCTTCTTAGGGGCGCTCCGACCTGCCAACACGAATAAGTCAGGAAACGAGAGCGTAGGGAATTCCCAAATCGTAGCCAAAGAATTACCTGACGGGCAGTACTGTTGAAGAAATGCAGCCCAGGTACGGTATTTCCGCATAAGGTATTATTCTTTCCACCCACGATTTAATGTCATCAATGAGCTGGGGTGGAGAAGCCCTCGCTGCGAATAAAAAAGGGAGAAAAGCAAAGAAATCACAATGGCCGTATGGTCAAAAGCGCAAGCAGCCCTGAATTCTACAAATAGAAATACTTACGTTCTGGATTCCATCTTTTCGGGAACCCTTCGGGATTCGACACCAGGTGCTCCGTCCTGATGTAGAAATACTTACGCCAAAAGCGGCGGTTGGGCTTATCATCGGCTTTAACAACTAAGCCCCTTGTGCCCCGACCTTTTAACTGCAGCATGGTACCCCTCAGGTAACCAGCGCTGAATAACTGTAAGAGGTGGTGAACCGAGAAGCTGCATTCAGCCCTGGCCGCATAGGTGGTGATAATACGGCACACCTTCAAGGTATAAGGAGTGAGCTGGACAGGACACACATTATAAAAACGGCAAAGCTCCTCCATCAGAGGATAGATTGAAAGATTGTAACCGATTAAGAACGGGTACTCATAGAACATGCAATATCCAGGCCGGTGCACATTGGCATAGTCCGTCCCGGCCGGAACCATTTCCACGTGATCCGAAATATGGTGCGTCTCTCGAAGGTCATCTAAATGAGATTGTAATAAAACGCTGTGCTCCCAGGGAAGGACAGGGCTTTTAGTTGGAAAATCCCTGCGAACATGCGTCTCCTTCGTAAGGACGTTGTCTACGCTGAGAGGAACAAGGGCCTTCTCCGCCTTTTCCCCTTCACCACCGGAAGATGGCGGAACCCTAGACGAGGCATCATCTTTGGCCTTCTTATTACCCTGTCCGCGTTTTGTTATGATTATACTACTTAAGAAACGAAGCATTGACGATAAGAAGTGTGGTTTCAACAGAAGTGGGAGAGTCCCTCACAAAATAACGGTTACAGTAAAGAAAGACAAAGGGGTATATCAGAAAGTGCTTTCCGAAGGATTGAAAATGGAATCAAATCGAACCTCTCTCATACTTATAGGGATAAGTTGCACAGGAATCGAAGAGTCATGATTCAAAACGTGCGCCGGAAACCAAAATGTCACATCATCCTCTGAACCGCCTCGGGGGCAAATATAATAATGACGCATACAGGCGATGACGTCATTCCAAAAAGGAAGCCGCGCGTCAGTGGCTCAACAACGTCATATATTTCACTCCATTCGTATTGCCGCCCCGGGTCGAGGTCAAATTCTCCTAAGCCGAGGTTCACGTTTCCGCCCATCGAAGACGCCCACCGAATGCGTCTCCAACGAGCGGAGGGACTAACTGTATAGGGTCAAATTTGACCCTCAGCATCTCTACGCCAGTAGGTACGCCCAATANTGTAAAAGAGGCATCTGATCTAATACAACTCTCTCATTTTTCTGGCTTTCTCTCTCTATCTCTACTTCAAACGAACGTATCTTATTGAGTTCATACTGTCTCTTTGCAATATTAGATCTGCAACAATATTATCATCTTTGCATCTCTAGGATTATTATATTTGATTACGATTTACCCTTTTTCTACTTTTGATTGTTTTTTAGCTTACAAAGTGTATTGTTAACTTTTGAGCCAAACAAACGTTTAGGCAAGACTTCAATTAAGTGCAATCGGACTAAAGTATTGTGGAGACATGATGATTGAAAAAGACATAAGTAATTAGTTGAAATGAAACATACTTACTATTCATCCTAATGGTCTATTACCGCAATTTAAATATAAAAAGTTATTTTCTTTTTATATAGTTTCTAAGTATATACACCGTATAGAATTAATTTTATCCATGGTCATTGAACTTTTGTGTTTGTTACCCAAAAGTTACTTTTCTTTTTTTTTGTTACGTAAAAATCATTCAACTTTGTGTTCATTAAAAGTCGTTTTTCTTTCTTTTGTTACACAAAAATCATTTTACTTTGCTCTAGTTATCACAAAAGTCATATTTTTACTTGTCTATTATGCCCTTGATATTATATAAACCTTCATATTTATGTAATACCTTCTATATTATATGTTATATAATATTTTTACTTATGTATTTTATTTATAAATAAAATAACTTAATATTATCTTATTTATAATTTTTATAATATATTNTTTTTCTTCGTTGATGTTTTTTTTCGCTCACTTAGAGTGATGATCTACGCAGTCAACTTGAGCATCTTCAGCAAGGAGGCATGACAGTCACCCAGTATGAGATGAGGTTTGTTGATTCGTCTTGTCATGTAGCTACCCTAATTTCTATGAGATAGAGAAGGTGTGGAGGTTCATAGAGGGGCTTCCTTATGGTATTAGAATTACAGATGGAAGAGAGAGAATGAGACTGCGACTTCATTCCCTCAGCCTATGTATTTTATTTATAAATAAATAACTTAATATTATATTATTTATTATTTTTATAATATATTGGTATATTTAATTTTTTCTTAACGTTAATTTTCAAAATATATTAGTTGCGTTATTAAATTTGTCAGTAACTTTAATATATATTAGTAGAAAAATAAATCGGCATGTACATTTCCGTGAGAAAATTCGCATGTAAACAAACAAAGAAAATGAGGAAAAAATCATATGTTAATCTGAAGGAAAATCCCTAGGTAACTCTACATGCAAATTTAGCTGGGGATATTTTCTTGTGGATTTACATGGGCAATTGGTTATTTGAGAAATTATACTACTAGAGGTTCGGGAAAAACCGTCCAAAAAAATCGACCAAAGTTGGTCGGTAATGGCCAATAACCGTCCAAAACGCGACCATTAACGTGTGGTCGGTATTTTGAAGGTCGGAAGGGCATAGCGATCAACTTTGGTCGGCCAATTAAATTCAAAAAAAGAATTGCTGAAAAAAGTTGTTTTATAACGCTACTAATATATCTTGAAAATTAAAGTTAGAAGATATACGAATATATTATAAAAATAATATTAAGTTATTTTATTTATAAATAAAATACATAGGTAAAAATATATTATATAGTATATAATATAGAAGGTATTACATAAATATGAAGGTTTATATAATATCAAGGGCATAATAGACTTTTCAAGTAAAAATGTGGCTTTTGTGATAACTAGAGCACAGTAAAGTAATTTTTGCGTAACAAAAGAAAGAAAAGTGACTTTTGTGTAATAAACACAAAGTTGAATGATTTTTACGTAACAAAAAAAAAAGTGATTTTTAGGTAACAAACACAAAAGTTCAATGACCATGGATAAAATTATGTCCACTGTATATCAAAGAAATTAATAAAAATCATTGTCTAAATTCCTGAGAAAAAGAAATGATTTGACTTTGATCTACGAATTCCAAAATACTACTCCTTGTTAGGAAAAAGAAAGCCACTGGCCACTGTGAACTTTAATAAACATTAAAAAGAGCAAGGCTTTTGGAAATAAAAAGTTCTTAGAAGTTGTTTGTTTATAGTAAAAAATAATTGAGTGAAAATCTTTTAATAGAGTGAAAATGTTTAAGCTCCTTTTTCAACCAAATAATTTTCAACAAATTAAGCTTTTTATAAAAATGATACGGATTGAGTAATGAGCTGGTAATTAGTTTGTGTAAAAACGGGTGTGAAATCATAAATCTAAGGTAATTTGTTAGTGCATTACTTCCATCTGTTTGTAACGTTGGTGTACGAACCCAATCCATTTATATCAATCATTAAATTAATAAACTAACCTCAGAACCAAACTAGTTAAAATCAATCAGTAAAAGAATCCTCTATATTTGTTCTACTCATTTATTCTATTGAATGATTTTATTAATAAGTGGCTTGTACTCTAATATAATAGTTGGCCTCTCTCTTGTTCTGAAACGTCAGGTCAAGATAGGTACAGAAATTGTTCAAACCCAGTAACGTGGATGACACAACAATCATCAATTGGTTCATTGGAGCAGGTAGAAACTGAAACCAGAAACACTTGCAAAAATACTCTTCAGTCAAACATATACTATTTCCCTTAAGTTATGTACAAACGAGTTGACATGGTCACACTATACTATTATTAGAGGATTTGGTAGCAGAGGAGTAGTTGATTTGTTCATGGAAACTCTCCATATAAATATCCCCATGCATTTGAACCAAGTAATCTCATTCAACAAAAACTTTGTGTTTCTTAGAGTCAATCACCCAATGGCTTCTCTCAAACTTGTTTTTACACTTACTATAATGATGTCTTTTCTCTCCTCTGCTCTTTCCAGCTGGGGTGGTGGTCTTTTTCCAGAATTCTACCAGTTCTCGTGCCCACAAGCGAACGAGATAGTCATGTCTGTTTTGGAAGAAGCTATTGCTAAAGATCCAAGAATGGCTGCTTCTTTGCTTAGACTTCACTTTCATGACTGCTTTGTCCAGGTACATATATACACTCTTATCACATCTGCATGCATGTTAAAGAGTAAGCTTAAGAAATTCTTCTTTGTTATGTTATAGGGCTGTGATGCATCAATATTACTAGACAAGACTAGTGCATTCAAAAGTGAAAAAGATGCAGGACCAAACAAGAATTCCATCAGGGGATTTGAAGTGATTGATCAAATCAAAGCTAGACTTGAACAAGTTTGCCCTCAAACTGTGTCCTGTGCAGACATTCTAGCCCTTGCTGCTCGCGACTCCACTGTTCTAGTAAGCACATTTTTCTTTCATTAAAATGGGAATATTAATAAATAAAGTACAAGCTAAGTGCTTCTTAATTAATTCTGAATTTTGCTAAACAGAGTGGAGGACCACATTGGGAAGTGCCTCTAGGAAGAAGAGACTCAAAGATAGCAAACCTCAAGAAAGCAAACACAAACATTCCTGCACCAAATTCCACCATCCAAAACCTCATAACGCTTTTCGCGCGACAAGGCCTTAGTGAACAAGATCTTGTTGCTCTTTCTGGTGAGCTAATCATGCAAAAATCTAATCATGCATTTTTACCTTTGGATGAGATCGATAATGCTAAAAGTTTTGATTTTTCATCATGTAATAGGAGCGCACACCATAGGGATGGCAAGATGTGTATCATTTAGGCAAAGGCTATACAATCAAAATGGTGACAACTTGCCAGATGCAACACTTGAGAAAACTTACTACACTGGTTTAAAAACAGCTTGTCCAAGAATAGGGGGAGACAATAACATTTCCCCTCTTGATTTCACAACACCAGTCAGATTTGACAATACATATTTCAAGTTGTTGCTGTGGGGCAAAGGACTTTTGAACTCAGATGAAGTACTACTGACTGGGAAAGTAAAAAAGACAAAGGAATTAGTGAAGAGCTATGCTGAAAATGAGGCACTTTTCTTCCATCATTTTGCAAAGTCAATGGTCAAAATGGGGAACATCACTCCACTTACTGGATTGAAGGGTGACGTCAGGAAGAATTGTCGCAGACTTAACTAAATATCTGTGTATCTAACAACTACTATATGGATTGATCATGTTTGCTTTAATTTCTGCTCGAAACAGCAGTGTCTTATTTAAGTTCAATTGATTAGATCAATTCCTGTGAATTATTAAAGTTTCTACAAACTAAAGTAAAGTAATGCTCAAAATTTTAATACTATAATATAGACTATTCCAAGCAATGTTAATTTACTGCGATTTTTTCACTGCCAACAGTTGTCACTAATAAGAAACCCTAGACTCGATCCTCCATCTTTCACATGTTTCAAACTATATTTACTTCATTACAAGAAAGAGAAGGAGGAATGGACATCATTGAATGTCACTAATGGAATTTGCTTATAAAAGAACAATTTCAAAGCTATGAGTTCATAATTTGAATTTTATTTTCACAAGTAGAAATAATAATTCACTATAAATTGATTAATTTATGTTTGCAAACTTATCACAATTTTTATCATTTGTCGTGATTTGAGAGCATACACACTTACACAGGCGACAAGGTTGGAAATTATAATTTGCCATTTTAACTAACTGAAAATGAATAGGCCAAATTCACAGCCCCCTAAACTTGTGTGATATTTTTATTTGAATACTTGAACTCAGACTAGTACTTATTGAACACCTAAACTCTCCAAAAGTATTCCGATTAGACACAATTTGTTGATATGGCAAAGTGTATGTTTTCCACTTTCTTTAAGCGCGTTTAAGATCTCCGAAATGGTCAATTCATTTTTTATTTTTTTATTTTTCCATTCTTTCTTTTCCTCTGCTTACTTGAAGGTCGACCACCTTGCCACAAAGTTTCATGGTCTGCGGCAAGTTCCATGGCTGGCTTGCAAAACCTATTTCTCACTTGTCCACCAAAATACCACCACCAAAGAACATTCCAAAAGATCTCAGATTTGATTTCGCTAGTATCTACCAAATTCCAACACCACCATAATTAGCTGCAATTTTGCTAAAAAAATTCTTAGGAAGAACACCAGAGATCTGTTTCCTCAAATCCTTCATCTCCTTTTCCTGTGTTTCCTCAATCCTTGGTTTAGGTTGTTTTCAGATTTGATTCGCTCACCACCAACAACAACATACTCAGTATATTTTTACAAGTGGGATTTGGGGAAGGTAGATCAGACCTTACCTCTACCTTTAAAAGGCAGAGACACTACTAGAAATTCAGGCAAAACCGTCCAAAAAAATCGACCAAAGTTGGTCGGTAATGGTCAATAACCATCCAAAACGCGACCATTTACGTGTGGACGGTATTTTGAAGGTCGGAAGGGCATACCGACCAAAGTTGGTCGGAAATTACCGACCAACATTAGTCGGTATGCTTTACACGACCATCCAACAATGTAATTGGCTTACCGACCAAAATTGGTCGAAATATTATTTTATTAATTTAATTTTACCGACCAAAGTTGGTCGGTGTATTAAATTTATTAATTTTTCATTTCGACCAACTTTGGTCGGTATTGGAAAATATTTTTTTTATAAATTATTAAAATTTAAAAAAACCGACCAACTTTAGTCGGTAATGAAAAATGTATTTTTTTTCAAATAATTAAAATTTAAAAATACTGACCAATAAACTGAACAGTGCAGGCAGAAATCCGACCAAAGTTGGCCGGTAATGTTGAATTCTGGGAATTCATTGTACATTAACTGACCAACATTGGTCGATAATGTGCAATTTAATTTTTTATTATTATTTACCGACCAAAGTTGATCGGTTTTCTGGGTTTAATTTGGCATAAAATATCTGTTTTGGTATCTATACCACCTGCCAAATAAAAATGGGGAATTACCAGCTATGTCCATTTATAAGTAGCTCATTACAAAAATTGGCCAATTGGTAAAATATTACTAATATTAGCCAAATTAGCCAATTAGCTATTTGTAGCAAAAAAAATATCAAATTTTTGCTTTGTTTTGAATGAGTGTTATTAGTATAGATTGGGCACAACTTAAGGACCTTGAATCTCAGTTTTGGGATGATTTGGTGAAGTTTTGAGGTGGTTTGAATTAAAAATTCGAAGTGAAAGCTGAACATGAAAAAAAATGATATATGTGTATCACACTATGTATCATTTGTGTATCACATATGTATCATATTTGTATCAATTGTGTATCACATGTATATCCATGTATACCTGCGTGTGAGATACATGCATGATACATGTTTGATACATGTGTCGCAGAAGACTTTTTTGAACTCGATTTAATTACGAATTTTGATACAAAACTAGTCCAAATCACCTCCAATCTTCCTCAAATTTTGTATATTGACTTATCAATATATTTTCAATAAATTTCAACTATACCCATTGAAAAAATTCCTTTTTTATTTAGATTTTTGGAATATTGTATAGGTTTTTGTATTTCATCACCTTATTTGCTACCCCGTCCATGAAAGTTCCTTTCCGTCTTGTATCTAATGTTGCTAATCACGCTTAAAAATATGGAAGGTGATTTTTGCATGTGATTCTTTGAGAGAAAGAACCCTATTATTTGGTTTTTCAATTTTTGTTGGCTAGTTTTGGTAAGTTTATGACTAATGGCTAGAGGTTGGTAAGTTGAGATTTATTTAGGACATTTGTGTAAGTTTCCCAATAAAAATAGCATACCAATACCCCCATCTTCACCTCATACAACCCCTAATTCACCACAAATCTAACCAAATATCCAACAACAACAACAACAATCAAACATCCAATTAATATTTTTAAACTAACAAATTAAAGTTCAATTGAACATTACAATCCAAAACCAAGCAAAAACTAATTACAACAAGTTAAAAATTGTTCAATCTAATTCAAAACTAGTTCTATTAGTCTAGTTCAAAGTATATTAAAGTATTGGTGAAGGGGTATTTTATACAACATCATCGTTATCTGATGAACTTTCATCTATAAGACGGTATATAGAACGGTCTTGTGGAGGACGGTAAGAATGATCATGGGGAGGACGGGAGGAACGATCACGAAGAGGAGGGGAGGAATGATCACTCGATGACTCACGAGACCGGGGCAACGGAAAAGCTCCACTAGAAAGGAGAGTTCTGATCTGAGCTTGCATACCAAGGAATTGAGCATCTCTAAGCCTTTCTCTTTCCTTGGCTGCTTCTAGCTCGGATGTAAGTTTTGACACAGTCTCCCGCATAGCCGAGAGACTCTCCCTATTAAGTTCCTCGCCCTATGAGGAAGTCCCTATTCCTTGCATTCCACACCTATAGAGATGGAATATTTTCGTAGGAAGCCCGTATACCTTCCCCCATTTTGGACCGCCAACAGCCTCCAACCATATTCTTTGATCATCCTCGTCCGAAGTTTGGGTTGGCTCGCCTGATTCACCAGCTGGCTGAAATGAAGTCCTCCACGTTACTTTGGTAACGACCGTACATTATTTTAAATTAAATTAGTATCTAAAAATTCTTATAAAAGTAAATTATAACACTTAAAGAAAATTGAAAGCTACATATGCAGTCTCTGCCCGGTCCTCGACCCACCTATCTCCATCCCCCTCTTTCTTCCTCTTTACAATATGCGTCTCCTTGAATAGCCCATCATGGCTCATTGGACGCCCATACTTCTTTTCCTGAAAATAAATTAATTTAGTTAATAAATAGAATTGATATACTTAGAAAAGTAAAATAATTTAAGCAATTACCAACCTTCTTTTTATTGTCCCATGCTGATAGCACCCCTAGTGTGCAAGGAGCCTCCCTTCTCGAATGAGCGAGATTTCTTTCCTTTTTTGCTCCTCTCTAAGAAATCCTCGGTCTGCCATTGCCTTAACAAATAATTCCATAAATGCTCAAGACACCAGCCAGACCTCTTCTTCTTCTTCATTCCATAATAGCGCTCTTCCCATACACACTTGCTCTGCATTTCAAAAGTTAAGTATTAGATGGAAACATCAGAAAAATAAATTATTAAACTGCTTAAAAGAACATTTATACCTTCCACGACTACCATTGATCTCTCCATGATTAGTCCACACACAGTAATTCTCTATAAACCCCTTCCTATAAAGATGAAGTTTAACTTTCTCTGGTTTTTTAAACTTCACACAATCGCACATGACACAAGGGCACTTAATTACTCCTTCAATTTGGTATGGTGAAAGTGACATTGCATGTCTAATAAAGTCATCAACCCCTTCTACAAAATCTTCCCGCAATCCCCGCCGATTAGGATAATTCCTATTGTACATCCAAGTACGATGTTCCATCTATACAAATAAAACAAGAACAAATTAATTTATTCTACAATTATAAATTAAATAAATCTTTTTTAGTTAATTAAGATAATTAATTTTTCCTAATTACACCAAAATTAAATTATAGTAAATATAATTAATTATAAACTATAAGTTCAATTCATATCCTAAGAGTTTAAACATAAGCTAAAAGTTCAATTTATATCCTAAAAGTTCAACTCATATCTAAAAAGTTCAATTCATATCCTAAAAGTTCAACCTATACCCTAAAAGTTCAATTCACAAGAACAAATCCTAAAAACTCAATTTAATTCAAAGTTAATAATTCAATTCTAACTAAACTATTCAAAACAATACAAACTTAAACATTCAATTTACACCATATGTAATCAATTCAATTTAATTAAAACAAGACCTAAACCCTAGATTTTAATAAAATACAAAGTTAAACAATCAATTTAAACACTAATTAACTAATTCATAACTAATTAATAAAACATTAAATTTATACAAAAAAGATATAAGTTGTAGTTTTAACCTAAAATTTTTAGGAGGTGGAGAAGGATGGGCGGCAGTGGTGGAGTCAGTAGTAGCGGCAACGGCAACGGCGACGGCGGGGGAGTGGCGACGCGGGGCAGTGGCTACGTGGGGTGGGGAATGAGATTTGTGTGAGGGAAATAGAGAAGGAGATGGGGAAGGGTGTTGTGTGTGTGAGGGAGAAGAGAGTGAAGTGGAAGAAAATTTTGAGAAGAGAGTAAGAGAAATGAGGTGGAAATCCCGTTTTCAGATATGAAATTAGAATTATCGACCAAAGTTGGTCGGTACACTAAGTGTTGACTGCATTTTGACTATTAACCTACCAACTTTGGTCGGTTATTTTTTAAAGAAAAACTAAATTATTTTCTTTGTGTGTTTTTATTTCTTAAAATATTATAAACT